CTAACGTTGAGTAGGTCTTTATAATATGCTTGACTCAGTCTTTGGCTGAGGATGGGCATGGGGGAAGGGGCTGCCCTGAGAATAGTGTAACTTAAGCTTGAAATCTGAGGCAAACCCAAAGTTAACAGCCAGAGGCTATCAGCTAAGTACATGCCTTCAGCTGAGCAGTGAGTCCTTTCTCGAGGCAGAGCTGAAGTGTACCTGCGACTGCCATACATTATGGGATGCCAATTCAACCCAAATTAATCTATAAATTCAATAAAGGATTTTTTATTAATAAGCTCAACAATCTTCTTGTAGAAAGTATTTGGAAAAAGAAAGGTTTATGTTTAGCTAAGTAAAATTTCAGGGGAAAAAAGAGCAAAAAGGAGGGATTTGCTCTGTTAAGATAGTCTGTAAGATGATGGTAAATATAAACAACATGGCACTGGCATAGTCATAGACAAAGAGACCAACTAAGTTCAGAACCAGAGCCATATATAAATAGAAATATGATATATGATAAAAGTGGCATCAAAAATAAGTGAGGAAGGGACAGACTATTGTGTATAATTACAGAGAAAAATTGGCTTGCCATCTGGAGAAAAAGAAGCTAGATCCCCACCTTACACCAAATAAAGGAATATATTCCAGAGAGAGTAACAATCTAAATGTGATTCTCTGGAGAGTAATGACAATAAAGGAAATAGAAAATGTAGGCTATGTTTGTGAAGTCAAAATGCAGGCTGAGTTTTTAAACAAGAGCCCAAAGGCAACACTGAGAGTGATAAGATTGTATCCATCAGCTAGGAGAGAGAACTGGAAGAACCCAAGGAGGAGTTATGTACACTATACAGAATATTCCTAGGATGAGGGCAGCTAAGGAAACCACAAGGAGATATAAGTCTGTTAGGAAGTGTCATTATGACTTGCCTGTCCAAAATATTTTCCCCTGCCTCTACCTCCTTCCTATTTAAAATTAAGCACATATCCTTCAATAAACGTTTTTGAGCTCCAGACACTGTTAAGTATAGGAAGTACAAAGACGAATATGCTTGAGTTGTAGTCCTTAAAAAGTTCATAATCTAGTCAGGGAGACAGAGCAGAAAACTGAATGTTTTAACTCCTATCCTACAGGTAGAAACCAAGAGGCATCTACCTTCACCTAGGACATCAGTGAGAAGCTGGTTTTTTTTTTTTTGTTTTTTTTTTTAATTTTTAAAAAAATATTTTTTTATTTTTGAGAGAGAGAGACACACAGAGTGAGAATAGGGGATGAGCAGAGAGGGAGACAGAATCCGAAGCAGGCTCCAGGCTCTGAGCTGTCAGCACAGATGTGGGGCTTGAACTCACAAGCCACAAGATGATGACCTGAGCTGAAGTTGGACGCTTAACCGACTGAGCCACCCAGGGACCCCGAAAAGCTGGTTTTTGAGCAATGAGGAAAGTCATTCCAGGCAACATCACTAACAAAGAAACAGGACTTTGAAAGTTTATTGGAAAATGTTAAGTACGTAACCTAATAATGGACATTCTGAAATGTTTGTTATTGAATGCAGAAAGTACTTTATGGAGGTTATTTTAGTCTTCCCTTAGCAGCACTGATAATCACACTAGCTAATTATCACCTTTGAAGGCACAGCCAAAGAAGTACTAAAGTGATAAGGGGTAAATGTTAATGGTTAAGAAAGAGAAGCATGCTGCAAAGCACTGACGACTAAGTGTGGAGTAGTAACAACTGTATAATGGATTTAGAGGAGGAAGAGGTTGCTGTCAGCTTCATTGGTTAGGGAAGATCTCATGGAAGTGGCAAAGCTTCACTTACTCATTCAAGAATTGAGAACTGACTGTATATATCAGGAGCTGTGCTTGGAGCAGGAACTTCAAAACTCAAAACTATAGTTACTGAAGGACAGATAATCAGATACTTGCAAAAAATAAAGCAATGAGTGTTATGACAGAGGCAAGCATAGGCTGATGTGAGAAAACCTCAGAGGGACTCTTGCTTTAGAGCAGGGAGGTCAGGGATGGCTTTCCAAAGGTGATGCTGTATGCACTGAATTATGATGGATGAGTAGGATTTCATCAAGTGAAAGGGAAGGAAAACCATTCCATTTAGTGAGAGTGGCTCCATTTAGTGAGAGAACACACCTCCCTCAAGGAACATGGAATAATAGCTCAAAGTAATGGCTGAAAGGCAGTGAAGGAAGTTTCTTTTCTTTTTTTTTTTTTTTTAATATTTATTTCTGAGAGGAGGGGAGGGGCAGACACACACACACACACACAGAATCCAAAGCAGGCTCCAAGCTCTGAGCTGTCAGCACAGAGCCCCTTGCAGGGCTAGCTCAAACTCGTGAACTGTGAGATCATGACCTGAGCCCAAGTTGGATGCCCAACCAATTGAGCCACCCAGGCGCCCCTGTGAAGGAAATTTCTAAGGCAAATAGGTAGAGATTTGATTATGAAAGGCCTTTTATAGAATGTTAAAGAATTTGGAATTCTATCCTGAAGACAACGTGGGAGTTGATGAAGATTGTAAGCAGGGAAGTGACATGATTAGATTCAAGTTTTACAATGATTACTATTAAAGGCAATGATGATAAAGGCAATTGAAGATGAACTGATAATGGGGGCAGCCTAAGAGGCAGGGAGATTAAAAGGCTGTTGCTATTATTTATGGAAAATAAAAAAAGACTTCAAACATATACTAGCCGTGGTACTAAGAATGGGTAAGGTTTGAGCAGCCAGAGAAGGAAGTAGAGGCATTCCTCGTAGAAATGATAGGTATAAATGTTTGGAGAAGGGAAGGGTGAGCAGATCAGTTTGCGTGGAGTATACAGTATTTGACAGAAGAAAAATGATTGGAAGGCTGGAGCAGAAGGCCAGGTAGGGAACAGTTGGTGATGAAGTTGAAAACAATGTTGGAGTCAGCCCGTGACAAACCTATCAAACAGGCTAAACAATTAGGATTTTGCTTTTTCCGTAGCAACATTAAATTAAAAAAATCACTTTTATTGTGATAAAATATACACAAAATTTATGACTTTTATCATTTTTAAATGTACAATTCAATGACATTCAGTACATTTACATTGTTGTGCAACCATCAACAATGTTCCTCTCCAGAACTTTTTCCACATCCCAAACTGAAACATTTTACTCATTACAGAATAACTCCCCTACCCGCCCAGCACTGGCAACTACCATTCTACTTTGTATCTCTGAGAGTTTGGCTACTTTAGGTACCTCATAAGTGGAATCATACAATATTTGTCCTTTCGTTTCTGGCTTATTTCACTCAGCTAAATCACTTTAATCAACACTCTGATTATTCAGTGGTTGAATTCTAATTTCATTCTACTCTACATGCTATATTTTAAAACAAATGTCTAGCTTTCTTGATAATCTTTCCCACTTATTGCTTAAGGACACTTCAATCTAGCAAATTATAAAAAAGGGCTCCTAAGGGCAATTTTACTCTACCACTATCTATCATTAAAGAGCTTTTCATTGTCTACTTACTCTAAGCGTCTTTATATTGCAAATTATTTTCATTTCATCACAGTTTTACAGGTACTAGACCTTTTGCAAAATCCCACCTGGTACCTTTAAATTTTATTTTATTTATTACTTTGAGAGAGAGCGCGTGCGGGAGCAGGGAAGGGGCAGGGAGAGAGACAGACAGACAGACAGACAGACAGACAGACAGACATAGAATCTGAAGTAGGTTCTAGGCTCTGAGCTGTGAGCACAAAACCCAACGGAGGCCTTAACTCGTGAACCGGGAGATCACGACCTGAGCCAAAGTCGGAGGCTCAACGACTGAGCCACCCAGGCGCCTCCTACCCCGTCCCCGCCCCCACCTCCACCTAGCACCTTAATGATAGAAAATAATAGCAAATAGACCAACTCAGGCAGGATCCGAACTTCCTCAGAAGGGAAGTTAATTTAGGATGCTGATATGAAGGCTCTGTCTTTTGATACTATTTATTTTCCCTATCTGTGACTGAATCGGCTCTACATAAAGAGAATTAAAAACACACTGTTCTTATCTTTAGCCAGGGAAAAGTCTGAAGTTTCAGATGCTTGAAAACTATTAGAGAACTAATAAGATTATCTCACCTTTCTTTTGGGGCATCCCTAGATCATTACTGTTCTACCATCAAGTTGAGTAATTCTGGACAAAACACTAATCCTCTGGAAGTTTCACTGGGTTAGATTATACCAGCCTGTGCTTCCCAACCTTGTCCACACCACAGCACACACTATACGGTATTGCAGGACACTGAGATAAACGGAGGAGGCAGTACAGCACACCTGGAACCCACTGGCCGCCGTGCGTCCTCGCACAACGTGTAGACGCTCTCAAGGAGCGCTCCAGTCCGCAGGTTCGTTCCGGCTGATGCGCCACAGCCGTCTATACACAGGACGAGTGGGGCTCCCGCTGTTTCTGAAGTCAGAGGCCTTTCCCTCCGTGCATAAAAATAAAGTCTTTATTCCATAAGCGGACCAAAGCGTGAAAAGGCACAAAGGCCTCAAACGAGGTAAATACGCAAAGTATCAAAGTACCGCACTCGCCCAGCGCGCTCTCCGCCGAGCTTACGTCTCCTCCCAGCAGGCTCCGGGAATCACCGCGAGACTTCATCAATTCTCGCGAGATTTCTCGGCAGCCATCTTCTTGGGGGTGCTGGGAGCCGGGAAGACCCCCCGAATCGTTTCCATTGAGCTGTCCTTCGTTTTCGCTTTCTTCACTTTTGCCTGTTCTGCGTTGCCAACACCACCTGGTTCCGAGGCTGAGAGAAAGCTCGGATCTAGGCGCGTGTCGACCTCCCGGTCCAAGAAGATTTGCTTGGGTGGAGGGGAAGGGGAGGGCTCGGGCAAACCGTTGCTGCCTCAGCCCGGGCCGGGGTCCGGGGACGGGGAGCTCCTGGCACCCCGTGGATTCGCGGCCTGCGACGGTACCCGCAGAGCTGTTCGCCGATCCGGGCTCGCGGGAACCTGCCACCGGCGCCTCCCACCGCGGCCCACGCGGGCGGCGCGCGGAGGAGGGGGCGGGGGCAGCGGCGGCTGTAGCGGCCGAGACCTGGGCGGGCGGAGGAGTGTGACGGGCCTCGGGGCCGCTGTGGATGGTTTCTAAAATGATCATTGAAAACTTCGAGGCACTCAAGTCCTGGCTCAGCAAGACTCTCGAGCCCATGTGAGTATCCGGGGGCTATCTCCTTGCAGGGATGGAAGTGGGAGATAGGCGGACACATAGATCTGTGCAGTTTCCCCCAAGTGCCTGTGATGGAGGCCGAAGCGGTGAACGGAGGTCCCAGGGTTTTTTTGTTTTCTCCTTCTTTTTCACCGTCGCTCCCAGGTTTAGGAGAGCCTGAGCTGACCTTTATCTTATCACCGAGTTGGTCCTTGAACTGGTATCTTCTCTTGTTTTCCCGTTATGTGTAGATCGACCCCAAGCCGCACACACATTAGACGAGGGCCCCCAAATCGGTTTCCTTTCGTTTAATGAATCCAATCATAACGTCTTGCCCACAGACTAATATACCTTGTTTCTTTAAGTGAAGTGAAATGGCCCTTATTAGGGATTAGGGCAGTTGTAGTGCAGGCCACTCACGTTTTACATAAATACAGTCCCTGAAAGAAAGGCCACGTTTCCCATGTGCTGTCTGGCTCATCCGCACCTCTTCTAACTGATTGAAGATGTAACAGGTGCTAAGGTACCCAGTAAGATTCCCTTTTCCCACCTACACGTTTGTTAAGTTGGAGAGGAGGAAGAAAATGTTATCTATCCATATGGAATATTTAGCAGTTTTAAGTGGGTTGCTGTAGATGGATTGTGTGTGTGTGTGTGTGTAGGTTTGTGTGTTCAGGGTGCCGGAATGTTTTAGATTGAAAAAATGAGTGTTTTAAGGATTTGTCTTTACAGCAATACATACAAAATATATCTTGATCCAGGTGCTTTATCGAGATTGGTTGATTTACAGTAAACAACTTAAAATATGGAAAATCCACTCATTTAATGAGTTTATCCAGTGCCTGCTATGTACTCTGGGAGGCTTTGGTAGAGCTTTTAAATTCCGAAGTTGACAAGACAATAATAAAGGAGTATTAAATAAGATAACTTCAGATAAAAATAGGAATGGCGGTTGTAATAATACAGGATCATATAAAAGGGTGATTAGAAGACTTCTCACAGGAGTTAGCGTTTGAACAACACTTAGGCGAAAACCATCTGTGTCAGAGTCTGGAGAAAGACTTTTCCTTGCAGAAGGAACAGCAGGTGCAAAGGCCCTTTAGCAGATATGATCACAGTGTGTTCCAGGAAGACAAAGAAGGCAATGTGACTGCAAGGAACCTTGTGATGGGGGTGGGAGAGAATGGAAGGACATGAAATTGGAGAAGTTGTTAGGGCAAATTATGTAGGATTTTCTAGGCCATGGTCAAGAGCTAGGATTTCATTTATAATGAGAAGACCTTAGATACTTTAAAGCAGGCAGGGACTGGTTTGAACTCTTTTTTTTTTTTTTTTTTTTTAAATATGTTTATTTATTTTTGAGAGAGAGAGAGAGACAGAGCGTGAGCAAGGGAGGGAGGGTAGAGAGGGAGACACAGAATCTGAAGCAGGCTCCAGGCTCAGAACTGTCAGCACAAAGCCTGACGGGATCCTGACCTGAGCCACGAGATCATGACCTGAGCTGAAGTCAGATGCTTAACCAACTGAGCAACCCATGTGCCCCTCATTTGATCTTGTTTTTTTTTTTAATTTTAATTTTATTTTAATTTATTTTATTCTTGAGAGAGAGAGGGAGATACAGAATCCGAAGCAGGCTCCAGGCTCTGAGCTGTCAGCACAGAGCCAGATGTGGGGCTTGAACTCACAAACTGTGAGATCATGATCTGAGCCGAAGTCGGACGCTTAATGGACTGAGCCACCCAGGCCTGTTCTTGTTTTAATGCTGCCTGCTTTGTGGAGATTAAGGGGGCAGGCATTAATGTGAGGAGACTGTTCTGAGGGCATTGTAGGCAGAAATGTGAGTAGTTTGTATTAGAGTGGTAGTGGAAACAACAAAATATGTTTTATAAGTGGATCTGATAGAACTTGCTGATATTGATTGGATGTGGGAGATGAGGGAAAGGGAAATCAAGGATGATGACCAAGAAGTTAGCAACTGGATGGGTGATGATAGAGAAGGCTGGGAGAACACATTGAGGGGAGGAGGAAAGATAGTTGGTTTTGATCAGTAAATATAAAGTGTTTGTTATACATCTGAGTTAGATGTCAAGTAAGTTGTTGGGTTATGAGTCTAGAACTCAGGTGAAGACTAGAGAAATTTGGAGTCATGCAGATAGTATTTGAAACTATGGAGTTGTGGGAGATTTCCTAATTAAGAATGTGTTGATAGGGAAGAAAGGAGGGCCAAGGTCTGAGGTAGAAGGTTGAGATTTATGTTACTAAAGAAACAAAAGAGGTGAGTTGTCAACTTGATGGGATGTTACATAATGGCCGAAAAGGATGAAGGCAGATAAGTGGCCCTTAAGTTTGGAATGGTAAAAGTCATTGGTAGCCTTAGCAAAACAGCTTCATTGAAGTGGGGTGCTCTAGATCCCTTATTTCAGCAAATGGAGAGAAAATACGCAACAGTGTAGTGTAGTAGTTGAGAGGACAAACTCTGGAACCAGAATGGCTGGCTTTGAATATCGTCTCTGCCACTTTGCCAGCTGCTTAAAATTGGGTAAATTACTTAACTCAGTGCCTCCTGTTTCCTCATCTGTATGGGGGAAATAATGAATATGTATTAATCTTTGAACACTGCCTGGCTTGTAATTAGTGTTCAATAAGTACTAGGTGAACAGAAAACTTAAAATGTTTTAAGTTGAAATAGCATTCCTTTTTAAAAAAAACTTTTTTGAATATAGTTTACACATAATGTTACATTAGCTTTAGGTATACAATATGGTGATCCAGTATCTTTATATTTTATGCCATAATCTAAAAGAATGTTATTTATAGTTACTTCATGTGTATGCTTGTGTTTTTATTCAGTTTTAATAAAGCATATAGTTACTTCATGTGTATGCTTGTGTTTTTATTCAGTTTCAGGTATCATATAGCTTACTCAGATGACTGTAGCACTGCAGTCATTACTGGTAGAATAAATAAGGCACTGCTAGCTAGAGTACAGCCTAAACCCTGGTAGGAATTGGAATTGGTCCTTTCATAATGTACATTGCTGTGGTAAAATTGAGCCCTTATCCAAGTTCCTGTCCCTTTAATTGCATTTCAGATGAATTCTTGGTAACTTTGAAAGCTAATTCCAATTATTTAAGATTTGTGGTTTCTAACCTTGGTTTTGTGAAACTTTAAGGTGTATTTGTTATCTGAAAGGATTTTTTTTTTACTTTAAAACTATAATTGCCAAATAGCACCTGTTTGAAGGAGAACATTTGAAGGACCAAGGGTAAGATGTAACTCAGAACTTGTATGGAACTATCTAGCTACTCATGCTAGTAAAGCATCTCATGGTTTTGGACTTCCTCTGCATTTTGAGTATGTTAATTCAGCAAACATTGAGTACTTAATCTACTTTGTACTGAGCGGTGTGTTAGATATTGGGGATAGTGGGAAATGAGCAGAGAGGACTGTCTTCGTATTGTTTACCGCTTAGCAGGGAAGACGTGTTGAACAAGTAATTACAAGGCCAGTGAGTGTTACTAAGTCCAGAATGCTGTCAAAATATATGTCTGGGAGGTCAGGAAAGGCTTTGCTGATATGGTAACATTTGATCTTAGCCTGCAAGGATGAAGAGCAGTTTGCTAGGCCAAAAAGATGGGAATGGAGAACTGTGAAAACATCCTAGATTTTGAAAAACAGATTGTATGAAAGCCCAAAAATGGAAGAAAAAAAGTGTCTTGGGGAAATTGAAACAAGTTGGAAAAAATAAAAAAAAGCAAAGGGAAGAATAGCAGTGGATAGCTCAGAGAGAGAAGCAGGAACATTCAAGACTTTGTTGAGTCATGTTAAGGATTTTGGATGTTAATTGAAGGATAGTGGGAAGCCAGTGAAGGGTTTTAGAAGCCAGAGAGCTTTCAGATTGACATAAAAACAAACACGAAATCCAGCCTGGTTGCACTGTTTTGGCATGAAATGAAAGTTGGCAGATCTGCATTTAATGATTGTAAGGTCTGTAGATATGTCAGGGTTTTGAGTTTTGTGGGTTTTTCACATAAATTATTGAAAATGTAGGTGTTAAAATTGGCATCTTAAAATACTTAAGATTGATGCTATATTCTCAAACATTTGCTTAGTCATGCTTGCTAATAAAATGAAATTAGATGTTGGTCTTTAACATTCATTTCTTTTTGCTAATTTGAAGTTCTGGAAAAAATTTTAAGCTTTTTTTTTTTTTTTTCGGTTTTTCTGTTTTTGTTTTCTAAACAGAAAAGATTTTCTGCTGTATTCTAAGACGTTTTTATGAGTTTACACATCACCAAGTGTGGTAATTTAATAAAATCATGGACTTTTTTTAGCTGGAGGGAAGCCTTAAAATCAAGTAAAAATAAAAAAAAAACTCCTTAATTTTTCAAAAAATGGAGAGGCAGATAGACTTAATGATGTACCCTTATTTTGTGACCTTAATAGTAAAGAACACAATGCCGCGTTTTGTCCTCCTGCTGCTGTGTAGTGCTATGGAGGTAATGTGTAGTGGAAAGAAGCCAAGCTTTGATCCACGTGGACTGGTGTTCACATCTCAGTTCTGCCACTTAGTGAGTAATCTAAGCAAATGAACCTCCTCTTTCCTTACTGGTGTGATAGTAGAATTATACTTCTTCTGTAGTTGAAAGAATTGAGACACATTTTTAAGAGTTTACCCCTTCGACCTTCCTTAAATACTGCTTGGTTAAACACAAATAGGTTACATTACTTGCTACTGTTACTATTATCACTACCACTGCTGCTGGCTACCCACCTGTATTTGCATACATTGTTGAAAGGTTTTGCATTACTTCCAAGTTCTATGAGGTAAGCACTGTTACCTCCATTTTGCAAGTGATGCCACTGGGGCACTGAAGCAGGAAGTTAAGGTACTTGTCCAGAGTCACACAGCTAGCTATAGCATGTGACTAAACAGTAATTTAAACTCAGACTTTTTTGATTGTAGAGCCATGTTCTTAATTTACTACTACACAATACCATGT